AAAATTTTTATTTAATTACTTGTTTTTTTTTGCTTAATATTCTTATTTTTGCTTACTTATTGTTTACTCTTTTGAATTGTTTATAATCTCGCTTGATTTTATTATTATTATCTTTTGAGAAAATTGATTTTTTTCTTGTGAATTAGAACCCGAGCTTGTTTGGAGAGATCAAACCGTGCACTTGCTTTGTTGATTAATCCCAGATTTAAAACTGAAACACGTCACAAAGCCAATAACTTTCCAGCATAATGAATTGACCATCAGACGAAGATGCAACTTACGAGCCGAGAGAGAAAGATAATAATGGTTGGGGATATTATAATATTCTCTACTATATATAGATAAATAATTATTCCTTCCCTCGTAAGTTATAAGTCTTGAGTTTGTAAGACGAAGTGATGAAATTTTGTCGATCGTTACTGCTTTCGGTTTAACTCACAAACATAAATAAATGTTGACTATCGCTTTTAACCATTTTGGAGAAGGCCTCCAAAGAATGCCAAGATAAAATTAATACGCTGGTCGAAAATTTCTCTCTCTTCGAAAAGCAAAAAATTGGCCCATCCTTCCTCTTCGAAACCTTAGTCGGCGGTGGCCACCGTAGGCGGTTCTCAAACACCATGGCCAGAAAAAAGGGGAATGAGGACCCTTAATTATCCCTACACAGATCCCTGCTCCTCTGAAACCTACAAAATCAAAAATTCTTATTCCCAACCTTCTAGATCTAAAATCCGAATCACCTCCCAAGCCTCAGCAGTCTTCGAAAATGGCCATAACTTCTTCTTCTACAGCTGATATAACTCTTGTTAATTTACCTGCTACAGTAGCGGAAGCCATTCCTTCGATTCCAGTCCCTCTCACTTGGTGCCAACGATTCAAAATCGGATCTAGCACGCTAGAGAAATGTAGAACTCCGTATGAGCTCAACAAAGTGATAGAAGAAAGTAAGCCCATGTGGAAAGATTTTGTGATAGGCCAGCTCTATCGCAAATCCCCTTCCTTCGGAAAGATATAAGCTGTGGTAAACCTGAGTGGAGTAAATGGCACAGGGATATCTCGGTAACAAAGCTTGATTCGGAAAATTCTTTCCTCTTCAAGATCCCAAACAACACTACGAGAGAAAGAGTTCTCAAAGAGGGAATCTAGAACATTGACGTAAGCACAATGTTTGTTGCATCTTGGAGCCCAGGAGTGAAGCCTGAGAGAAACCTTCTCTCAAGTCAGCTCCAGTGTGGATTGAGCTACGAAAGGTTTCCTACGAGTTCTACATTACAAAAGTTGTTAGTCGTATTACAAGTCTTGTGGGACATCCTATCTTCCTACATCCACAAACGTTAGTAATGACAAACTTTGAGGTTGCAAAGGTATTCACTGAAATCAACCTACATAAGCCGATCGCTGAAATTGTTTGTGCTAAATTTGAATCAGGAGAAACTGCCAGAGTGGAAGTCTATTGTCCCCAATTGCCACCTATTTATAAGATGTGCAATGAAACTATATTGTCCCACACCGTCAAAAGATGTCCGAAGGCTCCTCCTCTTTGCCAACACTGCAAGAATGCGTACCATGATCAGGAGCTCTATCCGATGAAAATTATGCTAAAGCAGAAAGTAAAGGACCCTGAGGTCATAAATGTGCCTAAAAGCTAATGTAGTAATCATGCCAGATAAGCTGGAGTCATCAGTAGTGTCTAAGTAGGTAATGCTTTCAGCTGAAGTTGAGAGTCTCAGTCTTCCGATCCACCTACTGCCTTGGTGTGTGTCCTTGATAAGGATAAGGGAATGCTCCTAAAGGGTAAAGAGGTTGGAAAACAGAACAACAGTGGGAATGAAATCTCAAAGCCTCATGATAAACCGGTACTAGATTCAACAAAGGTGATCGAACCTCCAAAGGAGAAGGAAGAAGGAGAGTTCACAATTATTGTTTCTAAGAAAAAAAAGAAATCGAAGCAGACAAAGGGCTCTTCTACTGATGATTCTTTGTCAGTGGAAGGGCTTACCCTTCACGGTAAATAAACCCCAACCAACCAGTTTTTGTAATGCTAAACCTCTATTGGAACTTAAGGGGGTCAATGATCCAGAAAAGCAGCAGAGGTTTAAGAGTTGGAAGAACAAATATCGGCCTCTTTTTGGTTGTCTCGCAGCGACACATGTATTAGAACCAAATACTAGATGAACCATTGAAACTATTCTGCCTGGTTGGAGAATGTAATCAAATTATGAGTTCTCCTATCTAGGACAGCTTTGGGTAGTATTGGATCCAGCGGTTTCGCTGATGATATACAATAAATTTCTCCTACATGTGGCTTCTTCTTTTTAGAAAAGAAAATCAGCTTCACGGTGACTTTTGTGTATGCTTCGAATCTAAGAAATACAAGACATGAGCTTTGGCTTGAGCTTCAGGCTTTGGTAGGTAATCCTCTCCTTTGTGGATCTCCTTGGTTGGTGACAGGTGACTTCAATCAAACACTATTGGCATCAGAGCAATCCCATAGAGATGAGTTTGATCAGGTGAGTGCAGGTGGAAGAGATTTGCAATTATATCTAAACATGACTGGTCTATTTGATTTTCCTTTTAAAGGTCTTATCTACACTTGGTGGAACCATAGGACAACTGACCCTATAGCTGAAAAACTCGATAAAATCTTGGGGAATACCACTAGGTTCTTTCCTTTCCAGAAGCTCAGATTTCATTTGAGGAGCCATTGTTCTCTGATCATGCAGTGTGTTGTATCAAACTCCCGGACCAGACACCAAAGCCAAAGAGGCCTTTTAAGTTCAACATTCATCTACTTCAGCACCTTGATTTCAAATCAATAGTAGTTGAAGCTTGGAATAGTTTTTTTGTATCTGGTACCCCTATGCAGAAGGTTAGTAGAAAGATAAAACTCCTAAAATGAATCCTAAAAGAGTTAGATCACTCTGCATATTCGGGTATTCAACTAAGAACAGCTGAAGCCTTGGCTGATCTAAACAAATCTCAGAAAATCATACTCTCCTCGCCATCAAGAGAAGAAGTTATGAAAGAGATGATTTGTATGAAGAAATGGAAGCAGTTAGCAAAGGTTGGGGAAACTTTCTTGAGGCAAAAATCCAGGATAAAGTGGCTAAAACAAGGTGACCAAAACTCGGGGTTTTTCGTAGATGTACAGCTGCTAGAAGAGCTAGAAACAGGCTCTCTAGGATCAAACTCGCAAATGGTTCCCAAAGCACATATCAGATTAAAGCTACATGTGTGGATTTTTACACCGATCTCCTTGGTCCTCCAGTCTCAAAGAAAGCTTTGCTAGTGTCTGCTATAGCTTCAGTGCACCCATTCAGATATGATGAGGATCAGAGGATAAAGCTTG